TAAAATAAAACCCCCTGATTCTCTACACTAGGAGTTGAACCTAGTCAAACATGGAATGATAACAAAAAGGGCGGAACCGGAATTTCAGGCTTACAAGTGTTATAAGATCAATTTATTATGGTATTTCTGATATGTTTCCTGAGACCTCTACACCTTTCTTTTGGTTTCTACTGACTTTGATTACGATTGATGGACAATATTTGAATGAAGTCATATAAAACTTCTTCTTAATAATGTGTATAAGTCAGGATTACGCAGATTTTCGCAGCATAGTTTTAGGCCAATACTCGCTTCTTTTGATATGAATATATCCGTGACTCTAAACAGAATCATTACATTATATTTCTAACATCAAATCACGTGTTGACAGTATGCCAGAGTGGTTAATGGGTGAGACTCGAACTTATCTGAGTTATCTCATGGGCTTTGCCCGCGCAGGTTCAAATCCTGCTGCTGTCGTGTTCATCTTTTTAATCTTTTTTTTGTCTTATTGTCAGTGCGATTCGGAGATGAGTTTTTTCACAGCTCTTGACATCATTAGTTTGCTTTTTTCCATCTTTTTTTCCTTTCCCTATTACCTCTGCACAATATGCTTTCTGGAGCAATACTTCCCAGGGCTTTATTTGGTTGTTATCTCTACTATTACATAAAAAAAATTTGTTTTGTAAGTTGTAAGGCTAATTCGTAAGACGCCTGACAGTGGTTTTATTGGACGAACAGGAACTCGCTAAGGGTTTGCCCATACGTGAGACCCCTCTACCGCGAGTCAGAACTATGCGAATGGATAGTGGTGGTCAGGTAGATTAAGATATTTACCGACTACCTATTGCGCCTTGGTGATGATGGTCTTGGGCCAACAGTGATGTGTCACAAACGTGCAGATTACTTCAAACTGCCAAATGATGTGGTTACTTTTGATTGCCCGCTAGATCTCCTCTCTTCAGGCACTGATTGGGGAAATTTATGGCGAGCTGAGTACATGCTGGCATGATCTTAACTGCCATCTCTACTGTAATGTAAGAGTAGAACTTTGCTAAGCAAGCAAGCAATGGCATGTTCCATGGTTGTGTGCTTATTGGCTAGAGAAGAAGGGATAAGAGAAAAAAGAGAGAGGTGGGAGTAGTGGCAGTAAGGCTCATATAAATTATCAGAATGGGAAGTGATTATGGTACCATTGTTTCGACAGAGATTCCTGTGACCTGAGGGTGAATCCGTACGGTATCAAAGTAGGTATGGAGAAATAATCCAATAATCTGCGATTCATCAGAGCCATTGATTTTTAGTAAACATTTATCATTGAGTATTACATCAGTTTTTCGGAAAGATGGAGCAAATTTAACGACCATCATTGCGAGATATTCGGTAAAATTTTGTTAAAAGCTGAATTCCTTTCCATTACCACATCCACCATTGGGCTCATAAGGTAAATTTTAACCTGTCCAAATCCTTTCGATGGGTTCGGGGTATTTTACTCAGTTCGTTTAGCAATCCATAACTCAGTTCAGAAGGAATCAAATTTTTGTATCACAGTTGCCATTATTATCATTGTTATTACCGCAGTGCACAATACTAGTCCTAACTCATGGGATTAGTAGATTTGTGTCATCATTAACTTGTGATATATTTTATAAAAAGTTTAGTGCTCTATTTCAGATTGAAATTTTATCTTTATTTTCATTACCGTGTACGTTAAATGCATCAGTTTTAATTTATGTCGCAATCAACATCGGGTAAAGATAAATACACTCCGCGGTCCGTCACCAAAAAACCCGTACATATATTGGTAGGTACTGAAATACTACTTACAAGAGTTTAATGCAGGAAACGATATATAAAAGATTTAAAAAACGGATACGAAAAAGGTATATAATTCACTCACATGTTTAATTAATTAAAAGGTAGGTACATTCGTGTCAGTGGTATAAATGGCTCTCGTTTTGGTAACCATTGGCATGCCCTGATATCTAACCTATATGATAGGAGAGACCTATGACCGCCCCACCTATCTCACCAAAGGCGACGTAACTATAAAAGTTCACCAACAGGTAGGGGAGAGTGATGTTAAGCGGTGGGATTGGTCCAGCGAGTCACTGGTGAAGTTTCAGAGGGGAAGAAGGGAAAAAAGTAAACGGCATTGACGCCATGACCGATGTTGTCTCTAGGTTACCGTCGAATCAGTTGGAGATGAGTGCACCGCAATACAAGTGAATAGGTCCCACTACTTTTTCGAGGAAACTCAAGTCACGAAACTATGCCGCATTTACCTGATTTGCAAGTGAAACGAACCATTTTATAGATTTTCCGGATACCATAAACAAACAAAGTGTTTTCCAACCACAGGGAAAAGTATGCCAGTGCTACAGGTGTCACTAACACTTTCACATAGTTTCGATTCTAATGGGTGTATTCTATTTCTCCAGATCGCCCTAGAGATTGGAAGTATAACCCAAAAATGGAAACGTTTCAGTCAATATAAACCAAATGCGCTAGGACCCAATCACTCAATTTACGAGTGCCACGACTACTGTCCAATGCCAAATTTATATGGTACCCATATTCTGAAGTAAAATTAATGCTGGCGAGTTCACCACAACTCAAACAAAACATTATCCACTTCGCATCTCATCCCCAGTCACTACTAGATCCAACATATGTTTAACTAACTTGGTGGTAAACTAAAAATCATATGGTTAAGGAAAGCTCGACTGATACACAATGAGTAACTTTAAAATTATGTGGATAGACATAAAGGGTTCATTTTTGCTGATCATTGTAACAGTACATTCCTAAAGTTTACCCATTTATTGGCTCCTAAAATGGTAAGCTTTGCACCGTTCTGAGCATTTCCAAAAGAGGTACATATTAGCATTTAAGGACTCACCGTGCAATACTCGTAATTAGAGGCATAGGGGCAAATCAAAACTTCTCACTTCCATTCATCAAATGGCGGGAGCAGCTGAAGCTACAATTAATATAAATACATCGAAAAGTAGTAGTCCGTGGTTATATTCAACTAATCATATATACACCTTGTTTCTTTCATTCTAAAAATTTCAACTCTAGTATATCTTATATATCTAATATGTACACTCATAGCCGTGCCTATGGCTACTACCTGCACAGGGTGCTACTGGCTACCGTGCTATGTGTGTTTCCACTATCCCTGGCGAGTCTAGTGCCAAACTCTTTTATGGTAGGTTTGCAAAGCACCAACGATGGCCTATTGCCCTCCACAACTCTACACCATCGTTTCCTGAACACCTTGGCCGACTTGCATATTCCCCACCGTGTGGTTTACAATTACTCCAGGGTATATACCGGAGTAAGTATACGGGTCAACAGCAACTATGCCGATTTTATCAATACTTTACCCGAAGTCCACGCCGTCGTTCCCAACCAACTCGCCTCCCCTGACTACATCCACCGGCTGGTGCCTCGGAATGGCGTGACATACCCGGCCAAGCGTCAACTGGCTCACAATTCGACGGGATACTATGAGTTTATGAAACAACACCCCAATATCCGTGGTCAAGGAGTGAAAGTGGGTATCATCGACTCAGGCCTCGACTACCGCCATCCGGCGTTTGGAAACTGTTATAAAACTAGTGGTTGTCGTATACAGTACGGCCACGACTTTGTCGGTGACGATTACAATGGCACCAACACAGCACATCCGGATGACGACCCACGAGACACATGCAATGGTCACGGCACCCACGTGGCGGGGATACTGGCCGGTGATGACGGCGAATTCCAAGGGGTGGCACCCGAGGCCACTTTGGGAGTGTACCGTATCCTTGGCTGTGATGGAAGTACGAATACGGATATTGTTGTCAAAGCCTTAGAACAGGCACAAGTGGATGGTATGCAAGTGATCAATATTTCCGTAGGCACACCGTCTGGTACAGGAATGGAGAACGACACCCTAGTAAGCGAAGATATTAGTTGGTTTGGTACGTTGATAGTGTCATCAGCAGGAAATGCCGGTGCCTATTCTATGTGGATGAATAATGCACCTGCAACGGCAAAGTCGGTGATATCGGTAGCCAGCTCGGAGCCGAATGAATACTATTCACTTGGTATCACTGACCATTCCAATGGGGACAAGAAAATCATTCGGTCACCAACCCAAAACGTTAATACTCCTGCTGACTTCAAACATCAGCCGTTGACTCGCGCCAAGGATGTCAACAGCACCGACCAGGCCTGTTCTCCCCTTA